AGAGCGCAGCGTCGGGTGCGCTGGTGGACCCGGCTGTGGGCGAGTTGGCCTCAGCTTTCTGATGAAAGACCGGGGTGGGCTGGACACGTCGAGGGGCCACCAGGTGGAGAGCTAGGGGTCCGGGTCGGGGCTGGGCCCGCGCTCAGCTCGTGGCCTCGCTCTCAGCTCGTGGCCGAGCACGTGAAGGCGGCCGGCGCCATCTCCGCGGAGCTGGAGGCCACCACCCTGCGGATCTGCGCGCGGGCGCTCGGCGTCTTCGTGCCCAGGTGCGGGCGCATTCTCGGCCGGGGTGGGGTCGGCGGCCCGCTGGGCGCTCGGAGTGCGGGACCTCTGCTTGCAGGTGGGAGGGCGGGCCGTCATCCCGGGCCTGAGAGGTGGGCGAACCCGGCGCCGGCGCGCGCCCGGGCAGGGTCTCCGAGCCCTCCGCGTACCCCGCCCCAGGTTTGAAAAGGCGTTTCTGGAGTCGGAGGCGGTGAGCGAGCCGCACTTGGGCGCCTACCTGAACGCCTGCGAGGAGCTCAGGTAGGTCTCTCCGGCTCCTGCGCAGGCTCGGGGAGGCCCGCAGGGGGCGCGCGAGCTCCGGGAAGCCGTGCGGAGTCGGCTAGGCGTGGGCGTGTGTGTCTGTCTGTCCAGACAGTCCGTCTGTCGGGCTCTCCCGGAGGCCTCCAGGGAACGTCCCCTTCCGCCCTACCGCTGCCGTCCCACCTTAGCCCAGCAGAGCTGAGGCCCTGGAGGGTTTGCAGGGAGAGTTTCCAAGCTGAGCCGAGCCAGAAGTTCCAGCTATCGTCCTCCCTGCTGCCCCAGGCTCCATTTCTTTCCTCCCTCATCCCAGCAAGCTGTCCTCCTTTGGGGGAAGCCCGGGAGAGCCCTCGGTGACACTGCACCCCGGGCTATGCTTGGGGCAGGCTCTGGATCCCTCTGCCCCCTCCTTGTGGGCAGGCAATGGCTGTGGGCCTCTTGTGCCTCAACCTCAGGTCCCGCTTCAGTGCCACCCCAAACCACCCCCATTGCAGAGTCACCAGGGGCTGAAGGGAGCCAGCACCCGAGGGGGAGTCTGGGCCGCCCTGTCTGGGTTCAGATACCTGCTCTGCCGCTTGCTGGCTGTGTGCCCTAGGACAAATCACTGTTGCCTCTGTGTCTCTTTCCTCATCTGTCATGCGGGATCAGGGTTAGCACCTGCTCCCTAGGGCCATGTGGGGACTCTGTGTCTGTGTTGGCTGTTTGTGAGCACGGGATGTGCCAGGCCCTGTGCTGGTGCCTCACTGGCCTGGCACATTTCATCCCAAGTGCAGTGTATGCATGTGCCAAGGGGCACTGTTTTTCCAACGTTGTCTTGTCCCTAATCTGGGTTAGGCTTGTCCTCAGCACTCGAGACCCTCAGGGGTTTCAGCCCTAGGAAGCATTCTCCATGCCCTGGCAGGCAGCCTCTGACTCACCCCTGAAAGAATTTCACCCTGCCTGCGGTGTCCTGAGACTGTGTGGACTGGGGAAAGCCTGGCCCTCGGTTTCAACCATCAAATGGGAGCATTGTCACCTTCAGAAAAGCAGTTATGAGGCTGGAAAGGGGGGTCTCTTCCAGGCATGACTGTGCTGTCCAATCACCGAAAGGGCTTGTCCCAGAACTGCAGGAGGGGACCTCTGCCATGGAGCCAGACCACAGCCACCCTGTTGACCTACCCCTCTAGGGTTGGCTTTGGTTCCATTCCTTCACTTGACTCTGCACCCAGGACTGCCCTTCACATTATAGTCTAAATGAATGGAGCTGGTGTAGCCCCCAGCCTGCATGGCTGTGTGCTGGCCCTTGCCCACCTCCTCACCTGTCCTGGCCCCTCCCCAGGACTAGCCTTCTGGCCAGGTTCCCGAGCACCCTAGAGGAGCTGGAGAAGCCCCTTGTAGCTGCCATCTGCAGCTTCCAGAAACGCCTGCTTCAGGGCTTGCAGCATGACATACAGGTGAATGGGATGGGCTCTTCTCTCCCCATTTTCCATACCCAGCAGAAGCCCCTTATCCCCTGGGGCCTGGAGACCCAGGCCACAGGGTTCATTTGCCCCAGGATCCATTTGAGAGATGCTTGTGTTGGGGAGTGGAGTGGGTACAGCTGGGGAACACCGTCCTTCTCACTTCAGTCTCAATCTCTTAGGGGTCAACACCCAAGCCCAGCATGGTGGGTCCAAGGACCCAGGCCTGGACCCCTAACCAGCCCCTCAAGGCTTCCTTGGGCCACACCCTAAGCAAGACCTGGCTAGACACTCCGATGCAAGCCCCACCCACTGGAGCTGGGAGAGGCATTCTAGGAAAGGCCTCTAGATAATATATTGTGATAGGAGAGGGGATGTCACCAGGACCCAGTCAGGAGGGGGATGGGGAGTGGTACCCTGGGCTTTGAAGGGAGTTAGATTGGTGGGGAGCACATGTTTTAAGACACGCACTGCCCTCCGTCCCCAGCCTCTCTTTAGGGTCGTGTGCACCAAGGACTGGCTGACACAGGACATGCTTCAACCCCTCATGGACAAGGTGGTGGCCTTTGCTGACCATCTCGGGCATGTGGCCCAGCCGCATGCACAGGTACCAGACGGGGAAGGTCCAGAAGGGTTGTGCCCAGGACTGGGGCCATTGACCCTGACCCTGACTCTGGCTGCCCAGGAGACCCTGCAGGAGGTACACCGGTTCGTGGTCCGTGAGTACCTGGCGCAGACCCTGAGGCCACGTGAGCGGTTCCGGGGTGAAGAACGTGTGAACAGCTCCCAGAAGATGAGCCTTGACGCCCAGGCCATGAGCAACACCTTCCAGGGCTTGGTAGGAATGAAGCCTGATGGCCACACTCGCCTCCACGGGAGCACCGCCCGTTCCCATTTTCACCCATCCTGTGGGAACCTGGGGGGGCGGTTGAGAGAGGTGACAGCCTCTCAGTCCCTGGGGTTGGGAGGGTTTTGGACCCAGCAGGTGGGGAGGAGCAGGGTGCCAGCCCAACTGGGGAGGACCAGGCTGGAGACCCCATTTTGCATGCAAGTTACATACATTTGCATGCAGTTTGCAGGTGAGGTGGGGGTCACAGGAGGGTCGAGGGTCACAGCCCCATCAGATGGGCAGCGGCTGTGGGAGGCATCCCTCCACCTTGGACCCGGAGCCCTTCCAGCTGAGAGATTTCTGCTGGGATCAGTGTGATCTAAGCAGCACTTCCTGGCTGGGCCTCAGGCTTCCCATCTGAGCAGAGACAGGAAAACACCTCTGCAGGACCATGTTACTGACGACTCCAGTGCCAGGCCCAGGCCCTTGACCTTTCGAGGGGAGGCCATCACAGGGGGAAGGGGTGGCTGCAGGAGGCTGGATGGTGCACTCAGAGAGGTCTCCTGGAGGAGGTGGCCCATCCTGGACACTCTTCTTTGTTTCTGTAGGGCTCTAAAGCCAAGTGGCTGGACCCAGCCATCCAATGCGTGGCTGACATCTTGGGGGAAACTTACAAGGATGACATCCGGAGGCATCTGGAGGCACTCATCCAGAGCTACCCTGACATCAGGTTTGTGTCCCATGTGCACCCCACTAGTTTCTGAGAGAGTGCACCCCACTCTCTCAGATGGAGAGCCACAGGGACCCAGGGATTTGGCATTGGCACCTGCCAGAATCACAGTGGCTGTGGGGGGGTGGCGAGGAGGGGAGGGGGCAGCACGGAGGGGAGGGGACAGCGGGTTTGTTCTGGGCCCAAGGGAGCCATGGCCCAGGCGGGGCTCAAACCAGTGTGGATCTGTGCGCAGGAGCCTGAGGACCAGGTTTGGGAGCTGGGCCTTGACTAGTGGTGGCAGGTGGCAGCT